AAGATTTTATTTATTTGACAGACAGAGATCACAAGTAAGCAGAGAGGCAGAGAGAGAGGAGGAAGCAGGCCCCCCACTGAGCAGAGAGCCCGACCAGGGGCTCCATCCCAGGACCCTGGGATCATGACCTGAGCCGAAGGCAGAGGCTTTAACCCTATGAACCACCCAGGCACCCCACCTGGCCTCTATCTTAATAGAAGACAGAGTCCAAACAGCCTCAAATAGCCAGACACCCTCTGAGACTCTGACGCTGCAGATTCACAGTGGCAAGATTTACAATTCTGTCTTACATGAACAGCTGGCTTGGGGCGTGCAATTCAAATTCCGGCTTGATTTCATGATTAATAAATGCCATGTTAAAAGTTACATATATTACATTCAAGTATTCTTTATAAAAACAAAAGGCTGGAACTATTACTTCAGTTTTATAGATAACTAAACTAAGCTCAAATGAAGTATAATCACTTCTCAGTTTCTCCTAAAAGAGCTGCCATCCATATGATTGTCTGACTCCAACACCTCTACTTGTGCCAATAATCAAAATAGCAGATACTTTCACTACTTTTTCTGGTTAGAATATGTGATGAATTACCATGCAAATGGCTTTAAGAAAGCTGACCGGAGGTGGGGGAGGGGGCCTTGGGTGGCTGTCATTAAGTGTCTGCCTCTGGCTCAGGTCATGATCCCAGGGTCCTGGGATCGAACCCCGCATCTGACTCCGAGCTCGGCAGGAAGCCTGCTTCTCCCTCTCCCACTCCCCGTTTGAGTTCCCTCTCTCACTGTCTCTCCCACTCTGTGTCAAATAAATTTAAAAAATCCTCAAAAAGGAAAGAAAGATAAGAAAGAAAAGAAATGGAAAAAGAAAAAAGAAAAGAAGGAAAGGAAGCTAGCTGGCCAGGAAGGTGAGTCATTTCTCTGTCACTAAAGTATCCTCACCTCATGGCTTCAAAGAATCTGCTTTTCTCCACTACATAACCCATTGTCTGTCTTGAGTTTTGTGGACAAAGAAGAAAATCTTAGTAGGGTACAGCAAATTAATATGCTAAGTAGGAACTTGAAATCAATGTGAAATCATATTCAAAAAAGGAAACATTTTTCCCAGCTGTCTCTAAAAGGAGCCTAATCATAAATGACAGCAATTTTGCCCAAAATTCATGCAAAGTCCTAGCATCCAAATATCGTAACTACTAAAAGGGCACAGAACTCTGTGGGAAATTTATTTATATTTCACACAAAGCTTTGTATTGTGTTTTCTCAGGAAGAGAGATCGGAAAAACTTTTAAAAAGAAAACCTTCTGTAGCCAGAAGAGAACAAGTGGAATCACAAGGCATCTAGAGAAGCTTAGTGACATTTCCTTTTGACTCATTTACATCAGTTGAGGCAATTTTAAATTATCATTAACTTTCTGGCCACTTTTAACTTATTAAAACAGTGTTTCAAAAATCCTGAAACAACTTCGTTTTTGTTTTTGTTTTGTTTTTTTAAAGATTTTATTTATTTATTTGTCAGAGTGAGTACAGGCAGACAGAGGCAGGCAGAGAAGCAGGCTCCCGCTGAGCAAGGAGCCCGATGTGGGACTCGATCCCATGATGCTGGGATCATGACCTGAGCCGAAGGCAGCGGCTTAACCAACTGAGCCACCCAGGCGTCCCACAACTTTGTTTTTGTAAACAATAATTAACATATAGTTCTTATTAGGGTGAGCTTAATATATACTTATCAAAGTAAGCTCTACCAAGGAGTTGAGCTATCTTTTTCCTTCTGAGCAACAGAAATGATAGAAATCAAAAAACACAGTGTATATGGACAACCCAATCTTACTTAGACTCTTTCTTAGAACCCCAAGTCTGGCTAGCAAGACCTTTAACTGAGAAAAATTATTTCCTTTCTTAAGAGGGAAACTTCTATTTCTGATTTCATATCCCCTTTTGAATACATATGCCTGTTTTCTCCCTCCCTAAATTCCTAGCTAACTTCATGATTTGGGCAAAAAACACTGAGGTTGGGTCTGGAACATTCTATTATTGTCAGAAAGTAAGGATGCTTGCAAAGATGTTAGAGCAGTGCTGAAGGGCGCAAAGGGTCAGTCTGAATTGATCCCCGGTGGCTCGTTCTGACAACCTGAGCATCACAATATATACATTATAATTAACTGAAATATGTTAAGATTATAAAAGGTCATGAATTCATGAGACTAAAAAGAAAAATGTTAAAATGCAGTACACAAATACAGAATGAATGATACATATGAGAATGAATTTAGTAAGTACAAAGTTAATATTTACATGTATAGATTACATATATATACACATACATAATTCACATACATATGGATTACCTTTCCAATAGGCATATAAGGCATACAAATGTGTGTGTGTGTATGTGTGTGTGTGTATACACAGTATAGATAGATCTCTTACCTATAGATCTCTTACTTTTCCCACGTTTTTCATCTCCTTAATAGTCAAATTCAAGAGACTTCCTTCCCTCGCCATACAATTTAAAATACAAACATTGTCTCCTACCTCTTCCTTCATCTTCTTCTCCTTAGAATTTACTCTTACATATTTTTTCATAAATATATATATATTTGTTGGTTTTCCTCAGTAGAAATTAGCTCTATTAAAAAAAAAGAAAAGCGCCTGGGTGGCTCAGTGGGTTAAAGCCTCAGCCTTCAGCTCGGATCATGATCCCGGGGTCCTGGGATCGAGCCCTGCATTGGGTCTCTGCTCAGCACAGAGCCTGCTGCTCCCAACACCCCCACTTGCCTCTCTACCTACTTGCAATCTCTGTCTGTCAAATAAATAAATAAAATCTTAAAAAAAAAGAAAAGAAAAGAAAAGCAGTGATTTCTGTCTGTGTAGTTCACTACTGTATCTCCAATGCCTACATTAGAACAAAGCCTGGCACACAGTAAGCACTCTATACAAAATGTTTCAATAAAACACACACATACACACGTCCTGCTTAATCAAGAGTATATAAAAGAAAAATTTAAATATGACAAGCAAAAATTGCACAAACTGACATGGCAGAAAGATATGTCCAGAAACATAATAACCAGATTAAAAAAGGAATCCAACAGTTTCACCATCACTGGTCATGCTCAATAACCAAGTAGAAAGGGTTTTGCCCATGTATTCTAAATGAATTAGTCCACATCTAAAGAGAATTAACTGGGGGGATGGGTGAGCCCGGCGATGGGTATTAAGGAGGGAACGTATTGCAATGAGCACTGGGTGTTATATGCAAACAATGAATCATGGAACACTACATCAAAAACTAACGATGTACTGTATGGTGACTAACGTAACACAATAAAAATAAAATAATAAAATAAAATAAGTATTTCTAGACCTCTAGGTAACATAAGAAAGAATAAAGAAATGACATGGATTTTCAGCATATCAAGTAACATCTTAGTCACTTAGTTAAATATAGTATGTTTGGCAGTGTTTTATAATCGTATTTTTTTCTGTTCATGGTTTGATGTATTAAGTCATACTAAATCCACGGTTTCAGTCTCAAGGGAATCCGTCTTAATACTCAGGAAACTTTCAAATTTGTATTAGATAAAATATAAATTGACTAATAAAGAAATTTTAAGAGTAGTAGTCATTGCTTCACTCCACGCACACATATAAATCTTTTACTCTTTCTTAATTCATTTGTTCTGTTGTTTTACAAATGCTTTCCAGACAATGTCCAAGATTCTAACAGTTCTAACTTTTTAAGGTGGCCCCATTATCGTATCATCAGTTTACCTCTCTATACCCACTCATTTACAATAGGAATATACTGCCCTATACCCTCATATTCCTCATTACTCTGAAGAATGGTAATAACTTATAGCCTAAGAATTCTAGGCTCTAACTGTTTTACTTTTACTATGAGTTGGAAATGTCCCATCCTTTCTGTCTGCTGGTAATATCTTTGTCTGAATTTCTAGTTCAACGAAATTATCCATAAACTTCTTAAGCCAAGCTTACAGTCTCCCCACATAAGAAAACCTCATTTACAACTCTATTATATTCTATTACACAGTATGCTTAAACCCATTCTGAAAACAGAAAATCAAGTAATTCCTTTAAGATGAGGAGCCATTCATTAATGTGACAAATCCGTTATTCTCTTAGCCTGCCCCTCTTTCTTTAAAGGCCTATAGTGAGTCGCCACCACAAATGATTTTAATTCCTTATGGGAAAGCCTGTTAAGGAGTTTTACTAGGTGAATTTTAAAAAATTTATCCTTATAATGAGTCTAACAAATACCAAATTAATTTTTATCAACAAGCAAAACATAATAATTCTCTCAGCTTCATGAAGGCTGTGTATTCAACTTCCAAATACTTGTTTTACAAAGAGTTTCTCAGGATAATTGTGCCATAAAAAATTAAGGCTTTTTCAAATGTACAGCAAACATAGGGTGTATGAAGCAGGACTGTAATTCCAAGAGGCAGAAATCCAATTCAAATTAAGAAAAAAAAAAAAAGGAAATTTTTGGACCACAGAAATTAAAAAGTAAAAAATGGTATAGACTTCAGGCATGCCTGAATTCAGAAGATCAAACAATGTCATCAGATTTGTCTCTTATCTCCATTTTCCTCTGTGTTAGACTGATCTTGGGAAGGCTTTCCTCATGTGGTGACAAGAAAAAAAAAAGCTACGGTGAGTTTTTAACCTTAAAAATCCTTTAAATCCATGAAACTTGCAATTCCAGGGGAAAAAATGATCTTTTCTTATATCTGTAACAATACCCCCTAGTGTTCTAGTGGTGCAAACAGGGCCATCTGCCAATCCCTTATTAACCAGACTGTGGCCGGCCTATGACCAATCCACTGCTCTCCCTAATAGTTTCTTCAGAATGATTTGCACTAAGGGCGAGGTAAGTTTTAAATGGGGCACAGAATAGATCCAAAAGTAACAGATGTCTACGATTCAGGCTATTTCAAATAAAGGATGCTCATAAACTGAAGGCTTCTCCATATTTACTACATTCATAGAATCATTAACCAAAGAATTCATTGATATTTATTTAATAAGCACTGAGTGGTGACTAAATGTTTTCTTTCATACACTTGTTACAATCAGAGAGTTTCTCTATTATGAATTTTCTGATGTCGTCTAAGGGCTGAGGCACAGCTAAAATTATTCCCACACTCGTTACAGTGATAGGGTTTGTCTCCAGCATGAATTCTCTGGTGTAGCCTAAGGGACAAGATCTGATGGAAAGCCTTCCCACATTCATTACATTCATAAGGTTTCTCTCCAGTATGAATTCTTTGATGTTGATTAAGGTATGAGCCACAACTGAAGGCCTTCCCGCATTTGTTACATTCATAGGGTTTCTCTCCCGCATGACTTCTCTTATGATGGATTAGAACTAAAGCATCACTGAAGGCTTTCCCACATTTACTGCATTCAAAAGGTCTCTCTCCGGTATGTATTCTATGATGCCGATTAAGTTGCGAGTCAGTCCTAAAAAACTTCCCACATTTGATGCATTCATAAGGCTTTTCACCTGTATGAATTCTCTGATGTTGATTAAGGTGTGAGCGATAGCCAAAAGTCTTCCCACATTCATTACATTTAAAGGGTTTCTCTCCTGTATGAATCCTTTGATGCAGAGTAAGGGCGATGCGTCTGCTGAAGGCTTTTCCACATTGATTACATTCATAGGGCTTCTCTCCAGTGTGAATTCTCTGATGCTGATTGAGGTGTGCGCTCTGTCTGAAGGCTTTGTTACATTCCTTACATTCATATGGTTTCTCTCCTGTGTGAATTCTCTGATGTTCAACAAGGAAGGCATAACGGCTAAAGGCCTTCCCACATTCATTGCATGCAAAAGGTTTCTCTCCAGTGTGGATTTTTTGATGTTGAGCAAGGTGTGCGCTCTGTCTGAAAGCTTTGTTACATTCCTTACATTCATATGGTTTCTCTCCAATGTGAGTTCTTTGATGTTCACTGAGAAAGAAGTCATGACTAAAGGCTTTTCCACAGTCATTGCATACAAACGGTTTCTCTCCAGTGTGAATTCTCTGAGGTTGAGTAAAGAATGAGTAACAGCTAAAGGCATCATCACATTCACTGAATCCATGCGGTAATTTTCCAAAATGAGTTGTTTGATGCTGAGTAAGTAATGAGTGGAAACTTAAGAGATTTGAAAAATCACTACTTTCATAAGGTTTCTCCCCAGGACGAATTCCTATATCTTTACTAAGGTATGTACTCTGGTTGAATTCTTCACATTCATTATCTATCAAAGAGTCCTTCTCAGCAGGTAATCTTTTACGCTCAATTAGGACGGAATTCGGGGGAAACATTTTATCATAAATACCAAATTTATGTACTCGCTCTACTGTGGGACCTCTCTCTTGTGTTGAAAGTACTGATTTCAAGGGAACACTTCTCTCAGAATTATTATATTTATTGTCCATTTTCACAGCAGAGATTTCCTTAAGGGCTGTCACTTGCCTGAAATGCCTCTCCTTTTGTTGATGCCGCGCAAATTCACCCTCATATTTCCAGGCTTCTCTGAAACTGGAATATTCAACGTCATAACTTCTAAGTCTTTCCATTACCATCCCCTGGGATATTTCCTCTTCACCAATGTACCATTTTGGAGATAATTCCTTGATTTCATACCAAGACTCCCAGTCTGAAAAATATCAAGAAAGCAAATGTGTCCTTTTTGCCTCTGCAAGGAGAAAAATGTTCTAGAAGAAACTAAAGAATTTAATTGGGGGGATGAGGGGAGAAAGTACATGGTTTTGACACCTTTCAAATATGGCCAAGTGAATATGAAAAACATACAAAGAAAGAACAAAGAATGAAGAAAGCTGATAAAGGAAGATATACGTGTTGGCGATGGGGAGAAGGTAACAGGGGAAATGTAGGGGATCAAGATGCAGATAAAGTTCAATGCTGAAAAGATGAGGAATTGAGAAAAACTGACTAGATCATAATCACAGTTTCCCTGCCTCTAGTCTTTCAAGTCTCGAATCCACTCTGCACTAACTAGTCCTATTCTTAAGACTAAAAGCTCCATGAAGGTAGGGATTAATGCTTTACTTCTTTTTCTTCTCACTATTGTATTTAGTGCCTAGGACAATGGTATTATTTTGTTAAGTTAATGAATGCTGCCAGAAAGCGCAACAACTTTTAAGATTTTATCAGGGACCAGAAAAAAAGTACTGTGGGGTTTTTTTGGTTGTTCTTGTTGTTATCAAATGTCTAGAAGAAATCTGAAGGTCAGCTTTGCTCATCATTGAGAGAAAAATGCTGCCTACAAAATAGAAACTTGATACTTTCGGAAGAGGGTATTGTTGAGATAAGATGGAAAGAAAATTATTTTTTTATTTTTTTATTTTTTATTTTTTTATTTTTTTTTTAAAGATTTTATTTATTCATTTGACAGAGAGAGAGATCACAAGCAGGCAGGGAGGCAGGCAGAGAGAGAGGAGGAAGCAGGCCCTCAGCGGAGCAGAGAGCCCGATGCGGGGCTCGATCCCAGGACCCTGGGATCATGACCTGAGCCGAAGGCAGAGGCTTTAACCCACTGAGCCACCCAGGCGCCCCAAGAAAATTATTTTTTTAAATATGATCTCAAAGGGGCATCTGGGTGGCTCAGTCAGTTAAGTGGCTGGCTCTTGACTTTTGGCTCAGGCCATAATCTCAGGGTCCTGGGCTTAAGCCCTGTGTTGGGTTCTGTATAGAGTCTGCTTGTCCCTCTCTCTCCCCCTCTGCCTCTCTCCACACATTCTCACTCTCAAATAAAAATCTTAAAAAAAAAAAAAAAGATGATCTCAAAAAGAGGAAAATGAGGGGCTCCAGGCTGATTCAGTTGGTGGAGCATGCAACTCTTGATCTTGGGGCTGTACGTTTGAGCCCCACATTGGGTATAGAGTCACTGAAAAGAATCTTTAAAAAAAAAAAAAAAGGAAAATGAGAAAGTCCTTTTCATGTTACATACAATAATCAGCCAATATATTCAATTATACAGAATCGACTACTATGCGCCCAGCATTTAGTAGAGGGGAAAAAAGTCTGAGACATGGGTCTTTTTCTCTTTTTTTTTTTAAGATTATATTTATTTGAGAGAGAGAGAGAGAGAGAGAGAGAGCACAAACAGGGGGATGGGCAGAGGGAGAAGCAGACTCCCCGCTGAGCAGGGAGACCCATGCGTGGCTCAATCCCAGGACTCTGGGATCATGACCTGAGACAAAGGCAGACATTTAACTGTTTGAGCCACTCAGGCACCATTGTCTCTTCTTTTTTAGATGAAAAAAAAAAAAAATTGGGGGGGTGCCTAGGTGGCTCAGTCAGTTAAGCATCTGCCTTCAGCTCAGGTCATGATCCCAGGGTTCTGGGATCAAGTCCCCCATCAGGCTCCTTGCTTAGCAGGGAGCCTGCTTCTGCCTCTCCCTCCCTGCCCTTCTTCCTGTTTGTACTGTCTATTTCTGTCAAATAAATTTTAAAAATCTTAAAAACAATTTTAAGTAGGTTCCACACCCAACATGGAGCCCAATACAGGGCTCAACTAACAACCAAGATCAAGACTTGAGATGAGATCAAGAGTCAGATGCTTAACTGACTGAGCCACCCAGGTGCTACCCTTCTCTCTTTTTTAAACTCTAAGGAGATAAAACTTGTACATACAAAAAATTCAATATGACACATAATGAAGGACTGGTTAATATGATACAGATTATTAGGTATAAGCGTCAGGAAAACAAATCAAAACTAACTAATTTAGTTAAGGAATAATTTCTGGAGAATCTGAGCTTGACTGTCAAGGCTATGATCATGCTTTCAAAATGCAGTGGTTATTCCACTAACAGTCATTTTCATGTTTTGTTTTGTTTTTTAGACAAAGAGAGAATGATAGAGAGAGAGCATGAGGTGTTGTGAGGGGGAGACAGAGAGGGAAAACCTTCAGCAGGCTCCATGTCCAGCATGGGGCCTGACCGGGGGCTCAATCTCCTGACCCCGAGATCAAGAGTGGGACACTTAGCCGACCAAGCCATCTAGGCCCTCCTCATTTTCATGTTCTGATATGCATGGAAATTATTTTAGAATTGCACGTTAGCATTACATACATAGTCTTACATACATACATAACATAGTCTTTTCCATAACAGCATCCCATCTGTTGAAAGAAAAGCCACCTGCAGGCCAGGTCAGCACAAGTTGAAAAACAAAGAATACATTATGTATCTGTATCTTTCTTCTTTCCAATACACCCTCCATCCAAGGAAAGCCTCATCCCTACCTACCCTTCCTATGCATAGCCATGGATTTTCTCTTACTTTGGGCTCTATCTCAACCAAGGCCTGAGAGGGATTTGTTCACTTATTCTGTTAGGTCTACACTGTTGTTTTGTTTGTTTTTTTTTTTTTGGCAGAAATTCATCATTCCCTCACCAACTCTCCTAGAACCTTCTTTCCTATATTCATCACCCAGGGCCACTGTGTTTCCTCTTACCAAGAATAAATCTTTTCTCTATTCTAGGCAAATGGCAGCTTTATAAAGTACCTACTATAATGTTGAGTAAAAAAAAACTGATGGGAGAAAACTACAGACATTTTCCAACATCAGGTATTCTGAGATGCCTGGAGCTCCAATAACTCTTCAGGGCAAAAAAAAAAAAAAGATACTCTGTACTTAGGCAAATGAATACTATCGGGGAAGGAATTCCATATAGGGTATTCCAGGGGACAGTATAGAGTATAGCCTGGGAAAGTACAGAGCAGGAAGTACGGTATATGTGGAAGACATATTCATAGTGATCGGAGTCCAGAAACACCTGAAGTCAATGGTATTAAGGCATTATGGTGGCACTCAGCAAGAAAGAAGAGAGACAATTCACCCTTATCAGTGTTTGAGGGGAAAAGGGAAGTTATGGATTCAGGCAAAGTGGAAGAGAGTTAAATAGGCATCCGTGTGTCAGGCTGGAAACAACACAGGGTTTGGGGTCATAGGTGAGTTTAAATCCTACTTCTTCATCTAGGGAGCTAGTTATTCTACCTTTTTTTTTTTAATTTTTTTTTATTTGACAGAGATCACAAGTAGTCAGAGAGGCAGGCAGAGAGAGAGGAGGAAGCAGGCTCCCCGCTGAGCAGAGAGCCCGATGCGGGGCTCGATCCCAGGACCCTGGGATCATGACCTGAGCCGAAGGCAGAGGCTTTAACCCACTGAGCCACCCAGGCGCCCCAGTTATTCTACCTTTAACAAATTAACAAACTGATGAAGCCATCTCTTGAGCCTCAGTTTCCTAGTAGGCAAAATGAGATGACCTTGCAAGTGCGGTATAAGAAAAAAGCATACACTTAGGAAAGAGAGGTTCGTTATATGTATTCAGTGACACTTACCATAAAATGTAGCAAATTAATAGGGATTTGTTAAGTTATCATTACACCTACACCATTAGTAGTCTCAGAAGTTACATTTATGTTCAAAAAAGGATTATGAGGGGCATCTGGGTGGCTCAGTTGGTTAAGCGGCTGCCTTCAGCTCGGGTCATGATCCGAGGGTCCTGGGATCAAGCCCCACATGGGCTCCCTGTTCAGTGGAGAGCCTGCTTCTCCCTCTCCCTCAGCCTGCTACTCTGCCTACTTGTGCTCTCTCTGTCAAATAAATAAATAAAATCCTTTTTTTTTTTTTTAAGATTTTATTTATTTATTTGACAGACAGAGATCATAAGTAGGCAGAGAGGCAGGCAGAGAGAGAGGAGGAAGCAGGCTCTCTGCCAAGCAGAGAGCCTGATGCGGTGCTCCATCCCAGGACCCTGGGACCATGACCTGAGCCAAAGGTTAAAGCCAGAGGCTTTAACCCACTGAGCCACCCAGGCGCCCCTAAATAAATAAAATCTTTAAAAAAGGGGGGGATAATGAAATAGATTGATGGTCAAATGACAAGACAAAGAATGGGAGAAGTCAACCCTTTGGGGTTAAAATATATCCAGGCTGGGGTGCCTGGGTGGCTCAGTCGTTAAGTGTCTGCCTTTGGCTCAGGTCATGATCACAGGGTCCTAGAATCAAGCCCCACCTCAGTGTCCCTGCTCAGCAGGAAGCCTGCTTCTCCCTCTCCCACTCCTACTTGTATTTCCATTCTCACTCTCTCTCTCTCTCTCTCTCTGTCAAATAAATAAATAAAATCTTTAAAATCAATCTATCTATCTATATCTCCAGGCAATTAAAGATGTGTAATTTCCAACTGATTATAATCTATAAATGGATGGAAGTTAAAAATCAAAATCTGATCAACTTTGGAATCCAATCAGAACTGCACAGAAAGGTAAGCATAGTAAATATAACTTGGCAGAAGAAAAAGTCTTACTAGACTATAGAATCACCACATGTTGGACTGATGAGCAGTACACAAACTGGAAGATTTCCTGATGAAGTAAATAATCTCCTGGCAGGAAACCTAGAAGATTCTACTAGGAAGTCTAGGAAAAAAGGACAGGACCTAAAGAGAAATCTTAAGAAGAAAGATTACTGCCAAAGCCCAGAAAACATGTTTCCATGAATAGCCTGACCAATGATCCACAGATTTACAGATTGAATCTCTATCTTTAAAAAACTGTATAGAGCTATGCTGTCTAAATATGGTAGCCACTAACCACATATGGCAATTTAAATTAATCAAAATTTAAAA